AACGCTTTTGCTGCGGCGCAATCCCTACACCACTCTTTAAAACTTTGTCTTTTCAAATAAGCACAAAAAGTAAACCTAATAAATTAATGAAAAAGTATATGTGAGAATATTCTAATTGATGGGGCTAATTCTTAAATTTTAATCATAAAATAAATTAAAATATTTTTTGGGCAAATTTAGTTCTATTAAAATAAACTCACACATACATCATATACATAAAATTTTAGCTATCATCTAAGAGGTTTTTTGTCCTATGTATGAGTTTGCTTGTCTTAGGCTTCGTTTGGGATGTCTTTCTTCGTCTTAGGCTTCATTTGGAACGTCTTTCTTCCTGCTTCTTAAAACAGTTTTTTATAACAAAAATTAAATCTTTTTTGTTAAAAAATTGCTTTAAGAAGCAGTAAAAAAATAGTCTCAAATGAAACTAACACTTTTTAGTTGGTAGTCAAAGCTTCAAACTAACGAAAAATTATTCTGTGATGAGACGGACGTAGAACTCCGTTTAGAGATCAACCAGAATGCGCCACATCAGCGGTACCGAGCTGTGCCGAATCACGATACCGAGCATAGAATGACGTGACGTATTTTGATTGGTGTTCAAATGACGTTCGATAATTAATCCAAAGTAACATAGCAAGATGAGTTGCTTTAAAAAAAATTAAAAATATTTAAATTTATAAATAACGTAAATATCTCCTTGCTAAAAAAAAAATCTTATATATAAACTCGCAATCTTAATTCTTAAGTCACCAGCCCCAAAAAAATGAATCATTAATCATCCAACCACCAAGCCACACTAAAAAGGGGGAAAAATCTTTATCCCAAAAACCATGGAGATCGAGCACCACAGACAACCGGAACTCCAATCCACCGCCACCACCGCTGCGGCTGCCGCCACCGAACCCACCAAACCCCTAAACGTCAAACGCCTCCTCCTCCTCCTCCTCAACGTCATCCTCCTCCTCATCGGTGGCACCGGCAGTCCTCTGCTCCTCCGCGTCTACTTCCTCCACGGCGGCAACCGGAAATGGTTCACTTCTTTCCTCCAAACTGCCGGCTTCCCTTTCCTCCTTCCCCCCCTTCTCTTCTCCTTCCTCCGCTCTCCTCGCCGCCACTTCTTCCTCATGTCCCCTTTCCTCCTCCTCTCTTCCATCTTCATCGGCCTTTTAACTGGAATCGACAACTTATTCTACTCATACGGCATATCGTACCTCCCCGTCTCCACTTCCTCTCTCCTCCTCTCCACCCAACTCGGCTTCACCGCCGTCTTCGCCTTCTTCATAGTTAAACAAAAGTTCACAGCTTCGTCAATAAACGCGGTGATGTTGCTGACCTTTGGTGCGGTGGTGCTCGGCGTTCATGCGAATGGAGATAGACCGGAAGGAGAATCTCAGGCGAAGTACTATATTGGGTTTCTTATGACGATTGCGGCGGCGGTGCTATACGGGCTGGTGTTGCCGTTGGTGGAGCTTATGTACGCGAAGTCGAAGATGAAGATTAGCTATAGTTTGGTAATGGAGATACAGGTTGTGATTGGGCTC